ACAGACTTAAGCCTCAAGCCCTTAAAAGCAACTCAAAGTATTCTGTGGGTCAAAGCCACAGACAGGAGGAAAGGAGGCAAGGGGAGGAGGGAAAGTGTAATGTACTATAAGGAAGTCAAGACTCAACAATGAAAAACAGACAGTAACTCCTATTGTCCTCACAAAGAGAGGGGCTGCAAGAGAACAGAAGAGGAGGCAAAAGAAGGCTACTAAAACCAGAGGATGAAATGGGGGTTTCAATCTAAAAGGAGCAGAGGGTCCCTTTAGAAAGTTCTCCCATGAGGGAAGAGATATATATGTCTGTAATGATAGATGAAAGAGCCCAAGGGAGTTGGTGCATGGGGACATCACTTTGTCTGGAAGAGGACTGTGCCACCACAGATAACATCCTGGCTAACAGATGAGAAATTTGAGCTCCTGGGGCAATGGGCACCCAGAAGGGAGGGAGAACATGGACAAAGAAATGAACTGGACCATATGAGTTGGGATACAGATTATTTTCTATCATGATATACCACTTCTATCTTCATTTTTTTCATTCATCAGCTGATTAAAATGAATGATGGAGAAAAAGCTAAAAAGAAAATAACAAATTGGTAAGAATAGGGAGGTCAAACTTGATACATCAGAAGCTTTAAATCTATGATGAACATAAGACTAATGAAGGAAAAAGTAAGAATATAGGCCCTGAATCAGGGAATAAAAGTTCAACATTAATAATTATAATAAGCAGAGAATTAATGAAGAGAAAAAGGTAAAAAAAGAAAGAAAAGGAAGATTTGAACTAATTATTTAATCACGAGTAGAAAACAGAGGTAACAAGGGGAAGAACTAACTAAATAAGATAAAGAAAACAATTAATAATGAAAAATCACTTCCCCTCCCCCAACCAAATCCAAGAAGTGGTTGATAAATGGAAAGGAGGAAGTGAAGAAAAAGGAAAAAGCCTGTAGGAAGTAAATGGGGGAAAATTTGCAAAAAAGTTTTTCTTATAAAGGTGGTATAACCAAAATATAAAAGGAAGAGATTCACATTTTATAAGACTATGTTTCATTTCCCAATAAATAAATGGCCAAATGGTATGAATAGGAAGCTTTCAAAGGGAAAAAAAATCTAATCTATCAATAATCAATTGAAAAAATGCTCCAAATCATAAATATTACAAAAGAGGAAAATAACAAATGTTGGAGAGGCTGCAGGAAAACAGGCACAAGAATGTAGTACTGGTAGAATTATGAACTGGTTGAGCAATTCTGGAAAGCAATTCCTAACTATGTCCTTAAAATTCACTAAACTGTGCTTATCCTTTAACCTAGGGATGCCACTATTGGACCTGTTCTTCAAAGAAATTTTTAAAAGGGGAAAAGATTCATACATTAAAAAAATACAGCAGCCATTTTTTTGTAGTAGCAAAGAACTCAAAATAAGAAAGTGTTTATAAATTGGGGAAAACCTGAACAAATTAAGTATATGAATGTAATGGAATATTATTGCACCATAAGAAATGATAGGAATACTTGTGTGAACTGACACAAAATGAAGAGAACCAGGAAAACAATGTGTACAATTACATTATAAAGAAAGACGGCTTGAAAAGACTGGAGAACTCTGATCAGTGCAATGACCAATTGCAATTCCAGAGGACCAAAGATGCAGCATGCTAAGCACATCCTAATACAGGTGTCATGGACTCAAAATGCAGAATGTGAAGCAAATTTTTGAACACAGCTAATGTAGGAATTTGTTTTGATTATGCATATTTGCTATGAGGGTCTTCTTTTTCTTTCCTTTTTATTCATTTGGGAGCAGAGGGGAGGAAGAAGAAAAAAAGAAATACTGCTTAATTGAAAAAAATTCAATTACAATGAAAGAAAGCCTGTGCAGAGAGGATTACCCAGAGTGCATGAAACAAATCTTAACACAAGGGTATTAATACAATGTAGGTACAAAGTACTAACTTAAAAGAGCAAAAGTGAACAAAAAAAAAAGTAATACTAGAGAAGCAAATGGTGGAAAACATCAGCCTAATTCTCAAAATTTTAAATGTGAAAGGATTAAACATTCCAATAAAAAGAAACTGAGTGGAATAATGGAGAAGGAAACAAATTCCACAATCTTTTGCTGACAAGAAACACATCTAAAACACAAAAATATTCCCTGAATCAAAATGAGAGGCTGAAACTAAGTTTACTGTGCATTAGGTCGATTCAAAAAAGCCAGAATGGCATTTGTGCTATCAGACAAAACTTAGAGGAGAACAAAGAAATAATACCCTCTCTGCTCAAAGGAACAACATACCTGAAACTAATATCAATCTTAAAGATACCCAAAGGAACACCTAACAAAGGGAATTTACAGAATTGAACATACTGCTTGACAATGGAGAAAACCATGAGATGGAATATACTTTAGGAATGGGAGAACCAAAACAATACAGATATTTCATAGCACCACACAGTTTTTACAAAAAACAGACCATGTATTAGGACAGAGAAATATTGCAAACAATATAAAAAGGCAAAAATATCAAACTTATTTTTTACAACCCAAAAAGCAATCAGAATAGCAATCAATTCAGGGAACACAATCAAAGACAGACTGAAATAAAAACTTAATAACGACATCCTAAATAATGTATGGACCCCCTCAAAAAATAATAGAAATAATTAATAACTCTATGAAAAACAATGATAATAAAGAAATAGCAATGATAATAATGAAATACCAAAATTTGTAGGATATACTTAGAGCAGTTCTCAGAGGAAAAGTAATATCCCTAAATCATATAGTAACAAAACTGAAAAAAAAAAGAATTTAATTTTTAAATTAAAAAATACATTTTTAAAATAAACAAACTCAAAATAAGCAAGTAGAAAAATACTGAAAGTGAGCAGAGAAAAAATTAAATTTGAAACCAAAAAGAATATAAAAATGATAAACAAAACTAAAAGCTGGTCCTTTGAAAAGACTAACAAAATTGAAACACCTGTAGCCTACCAGATTAAAAAGATACAAAATCAAATTAACAAAATAAAATATAGAAGTCATAAAAAACACCCAGAAAAAATAAAAAGAATCACTTGAAGAAATAAAAAGAACTATCAAAACTTACTACAGACCATTATATACAAACAAAACTGAGAATACAGAAGGAATACATGCATTCTTTTTGGAATGGAATGGGAGGAGTATCCATTGTCATCATGGACGACTATACCGATGTCATTGCATCCGGAAGGGAAGAGATGCAGCCATGGTTCTTGGCACTAAGAATCCTCACTCATTGTGGCTATGGTGCCATCTTTGAGATAGCTGGGGGGGACCTCCATAGTCCAGAAGGCCCCAGTCTTTCTCCATGAGGGGATTCTGGGATACAGTGAAAGCTGTTTTCTTAGTGAGGACATCAAGGACTCAGAGGCTGCTGGCACTCCAGGCTCCAGGCTTCTAGTGCTGTGCTTTTAATACTGTGGTCAAACTGCCATTGCTGTCAGCACCAGACCTGCCCTGGAGAAGTGGACAGCCCCACCTCCTCAGACCACTCCTGCACTGAATTCCCAAAGCTGTCTCCCATATCTCTCCCTTCCTCCTGTTTACCCCTATGCTGCCCAACTAATATGGCCCTTCTCCGCCCTCCCCAGATCCCATCTCCCACCTGAGAAGCTTCTGTTAGAGATGTTTTGATGATCCTTTCCAGGGGATGTCCAACTCCCCCCAGAATGACCTAACAGGAATTTGAGAGGGGAACATTGAGGGTCCTCTTCCCTTTGCCCCCATCCCAGAACTGGCTCCCTCTGGTACTGAGCGCAATGTGTTCTGCTCAGCCGCATCTGGTACATGTACAAATCAGAGGCAGCAGGGACCTGGGGCTCTCCTCGCCTCCCATCTTGACCCTTAAGTTCGAGGCCTGTGGAGTACAGGCTCTGCGGAACACCTATCTATCCACCCTAGAACAATCACTAAGAAAGAAACACAATTTCCTCAGACAAATGGGGAAAGTCTAAAGTTGGGCTCAGACTTGAAAATTTCCATCTTGGTAAAACCTGCCTCTAGAGAGCCATAGCCTTCAACAGACCAAGGTTACCTCTGCATCATGATGCAGAGGGGTATTAAAGGATACAGTTCCATAGTGCTTTTACATAACATTTTTCAAGCTTCCTGATATAGCTAAATTTGGTGGTAAACATGATAATAACACCTTGGAATATTTTCTCCAAAATGATACAGAGATAAAGAAGCTCTACAACTATCCACTGAAATAATGAAAACAGGACCATAGGATTCTAAGTTAAAAGGTCCTTAGAGATTGTTTCTAAAAAAAAGGCCCAGACAGGCCTAGAACTGATTTGATTTGCTCACATCACACAGGTAACAAAGAGTAAAATGCAGATCTTCTGACTCCACAAAGTCAGGCCTCCTTCTATTCCACCACTCTCCCTCTCAAGAGTCCATTATCAGATGGATGCCACAGACCACAATGCAACGGCACACTCCATAGCCATCGGATCTTCAGGTGCCATTTGTTAGGCCAATGATAAACTACAGGTCTAACAACTCACTTTCCATTTCAAGATATTTCTCTGACTTTTTCTTATTGTGACAGACAACAGATTGATTAAACTTAGTCATGGGATTTGACACTATAGCCATTGGCTTCTATTTGTTGATTACTATTGATTTTCTTCGATACTTCATTTAAAAATCAATAGCTGGAAAGAAAAACAGGCCTGGTTTGCACATACTTAAACACACTGTTGTGCTCTAGAAGGGGCTGCCGTCTGGGCCTAGCCCTGACGTCCAATTATGAGAAAGGCTCTTAAACAGGTGAAAGCAAGGGCTTCCGATCGATCGATGGGCACTTTTCTTTCTCAATCAGAGGAAGTGGCTATGAATTAGGCTCATCAGCACTATGTTCAAGGCATTCCTAAAGCAAATAACTGTAAACTCTTTTTTGCCCTTCAGTAGTATTTGTACTGAGGAAGAGCATCCCTTAAAGTGAGTACCTGGAGTTCATCCGGGCTTTCAGCTTTTTGGCTTTCTTCTTGTTTTTCTGCCTGTCATCTCCATCTTTCACAGGCTCCGTTGGTGTTGAGCTTTCAACCATAATGTCAACGATATACTTCTTCAGTGACAGATGTTCCTGCAAAAGACATCAAAACAACATCTGACTTCCATGGGCTTGATGAGCACACAAAATTCGCCCACTGTTGCCCATAAGAATTCAGAAAAAAGTTTAAGCAAAAACTCTTATATTTGAGGCTCTGACACTTCAGCCAGTAATGTGCACAGGTAGCTTGTTACCCAGCAGTCACGATCCCACCCTATTTGTAAGCTGGGCTAAGTATTTCACATCAGCTTGTAGAGGACCATTAACTCTCTTAGGACACTAAGAAGCAATTTATATACGAAAAAAAGAACAAAACATTTACAAATAGTTTATGGATGCTTCTGTGCTTTCCAAAGAAGAAAAATGTATTCCCTCCTAGGTGAAGAGGGTTCCATATCTTTTGTAATGACTGAAATCAGTAATCCCAGTAAAGACAACCCCAGGAAATAAGCCCAAGTCCCAAATCAAATAAAAGCAATAATAAAAAGAAATTAAGAATCATTTTACTCTCCTCCCTACATTCTACAAAAGAAATTCTATAGGTAGCATTCCAGGCTTGTCACAATCCAGCCTGAGTTTACCTTTTCAACCTATCACTTCTCTTGACATAGTCTATGCTTCAGCCAAACTATATTCACTACCTGCTTTCCACACTCAACATCCCGTTTCTAGCCTTGGTGCTTTCAAAAAATGAGCTCAGAAGACCCTCCCTCATCTCCAAATTTCACATTCTATGTTACCCTTCCATGGGAGGCCATACAGTGTACTCTGGTCTATTAAAAACCGCCACTATATGCTACTGTGTTAAACCTCCACTGGAGTTCTCCTCTCCCTTCACAGTGAAGAGGTAGCCCTCGTATCACAGATTAGGAATGACACATGCTCAGATCACACAGGGAAATTCAAAGGGTCTGCAGTCTAACCAATAGCTGAATGAGAAACTGGTTTACCACACACCAAAGCGGTCAACCAGACTTTTCTTGAAGGCATTAGTTAAGTGAAAGGAAATCTAGCCTTCCCTAGGCTAGAAAAATGAAGCAAAAGTTTTGATATATCTTAACCAAGCTGAAAAGACTTTGGAGTATGGGCTTGGTAAATTTGTTATTTGAGACTCTAAGCCAGGGGTGGGCAACCTGCAGCCTTGAAGCCCCATGTGGCTTCTAGATCCTCGGCTACAACCTTCTGACTGAGTCCAAGTTTTACAGAACACATCCTTTTATTAGTGGGATTTGTTCTGTGAAGTTTAGATTCAGTCAAAGGGCTGCACTTGAGGACCTAGAGGGCCACATGTGGCCTTGAGGCCACAGGTTCCACACCCCTGCTCTAAGCTAAGTTCAAGGAAATTCATGAACAAAGAAGTAGCTACCAGGTAAGGAATTTTTTAGCCAAAACAACTTTTAAAGTCTAAAAGAGGGAGAAAAAAGATGCTATGTAGGAAGTGGGAATATCCATACAAATGAAACTATGTATTTTTAATTAAGTATTTGAGTACTGCATATCGAAAAAAATTGTTTAAAAATTCCATACTAAAATTTGGCAGATATGCAATATTCCACTGGATAAAACGTTGTGTATCACAAATCTGGAGCTGGAAGAGATCTTAGAGGTCACTTACCCCAACCTACTCATTTTCTTTGTGAGGAAACTGAGGCCCAGAGAGATTAAGTGACATGCCCAAAGTCAGGGAGTAATTAAGTGGCAGATATAAGATTCAAATCTAGGTCCTCATAATGGGGAGATGGGATCTGGACCCCTAAAAGGAAAAGCCCCTGAACTTCAGTGCTTTTCCCATGGAAGCATGCTGTTATTCCCTTAAGCTTATCAAACAAGAGCCACATAGAGCTCTTAGGCAAGCAATTACAATAGCATTAATCTGATCTACTTAAAAAAGATGCTGACTCTGAAAAATGAAAAATAACTAGCATTTCCATTCCAAATAAAATGGAAAATGGATGGTAGTAAAGTACCTTTCCATTTCTTGGAGAAATCTAACAGATGCAAAACCACCACCACCACAAAGCAGTCAAAAGAACTCAGAAACATCCTCAGTCAGCAATCGCTTGGTCTCTCTGACAAAGAGGCAAAGCAGCCAAGTGCAATGTTGTTTAGAACAACAGCAGTGTGGCTGTGATACCACCAGTGAAAAGTGGCACAGGCAAAATGAACAGCCACGCAGCTTGGCAACTAAGTCAGAACACCCCAAGTACACTCATGTATAAAATGAGGACAAAAAACTAGACATTCAACAGAACACATCTACTTGCCCTTCTAAAGCAAACTGACTACCACATTGGACCTGTACTACATCAATACAAGGAGATGCAAAGACAAAGAAATGGAGCTTGGGAAAAATGAAGTAGAAAAAAAGGAAATCAATCAATCAATCACTAAGCATTTATTGAAAGTATTAGGGGACAGGCACTATGCTAAGTAATAGGAATTAAAAGAAAAGATGGATTCTCATATTGCTGTTCATCTACTCTCTCTATAAATACTATACATACTGAGTTATTTACAAACGGTCTCTCCAATTATAATGTAAGCTCATTAAGGACAAGAACTATTGGTTTGCGCTTTTTTTTTAATCATTCCTTGTATTCTATTGCTTAGCACAGCATCTGGTACACAGAGCTAACTACCAGCTTCAGCAAAGTTGCAAATGACAAAATAAACCCTCAAAAATCACTACATTTTAAAATTATGTTAAGAAATTTCAAATAACTACAAACTGCACAAAATACTTGGGGATCACCCTACCAAAGCACACAAAAGACTTGTACAGATTTAATTACAGAGTGCTCCTTAAATAAAGAAAGAACTTGAACAGCTAGAGGAATAGTCAGTGCTCATTGCTGGACCATGCCAACATAAGAAAAATGACCAAAACACCAAAATTAACTAATATCTGTGATGACATGACAATCAAATTATCAAAGCGATATTTTGTAGTACTTAAAAAAATAATAAAATTCATTTGGAAAAACAAAAGATCTAGAAATCTGAGGGAAATGATGCAAAGATTCAGGGGCAAAGAAGGACAGGCACTTTCTGATCTCACTATATTATAAAACAGCTGTCACCAAAGCCATCTGGTATTAGTTAAAAACAGAGAGTGAGATCAGTGGAACAGACTAGATAATGAAGAATTGGGAATGACAGAATTCAATAACCCAATGTTTAACAAATCAGAAAATATAAATTACTTAAGAAAAAACTGCCTATTTGAAGAAAAACTGTTGGGAAAATTGGAAAGCAGCCTGGCAGAAATTAGGCTGAGACTGACACCTTACACGATATTCCATACTACAAATGGAAAGATGACTTTAAAACTAAAGATCATACTAAAAATATCATAAGAGAAGCAGATCATATACTTCTCACAGCTATGGAAAAGAGATGTAATGTTAACCAAACAAGAAATACAATTACAAAAGAAAGACAATTTTGATTACATGAAACAGAAATCTTCTGCACAGACAAAATTAATGTACCTAAGATAAGAAGGGAAGTGGCAGAATGGTGGGAAAAATCTTTAAATTAAATTTCTCTAAAAAGGGTGTGAAAGCCAAGATATATAAACAATTGACAAACTGGTATGAGACCAAAAACCATTCCTCAATGGATAAAGTGGTGAAAGGATATGAACAAAAAGTTCTCAAAAGAATCAGAAACTATTTTTTCTAAACATTCTTTTTTTCTTTAGTTCCAAACTATCTTTCCCTCCAGCTGCTCCCCTACCCACTGAGAAGGCAAGTAATTAAGATAAGCATTATACCTGTAAAGTCATGCAAAACATATTTCTACATAAACCATGCTGAAAAATAGATATAGATAGAAAGAAAGAGAGAGAAAGAGAGAGAGAGAGAAAGAAAGAAAGAAAGAAAGAAAGAAAGAAAAAGAAAGTGAAAAAAGTATGCTTCAATCTGCACTCAGAGTTCATCAGTTTTCTCTGGAGATGAAAAGCATTTTTCACAAGCTGATTTTATCAGGGTTCCAAACATTAACTTTCTTTTCTGCCCCTTTCAGCAGCCAAGGCATTTACATTAACACATGGGCAATACTCACATACAAAATGAAGGGACTGGGGTAAATGGCCCCTGAGTCCCTTCCTGTTCCAGTTCTATCTCACATGTAAAATAAACGGACTGGAGTAGAGGGCCTCTCAGGATCCTTCCTGCTCTAAATCTATGTTCTATGAGGTGGCAGACAGAAAAACTATTTGGAAACAAGGGAAACTGCTTAGGTCACCCTCCCATCATATTTTGAAAAGGAAAGTGAAGAAGAGGAGGAGGGCTAAAATCACTTTCTGAGAGTGATTTTCAGAATGATTACTGTTAATGAATTTTCCTATTTTATCTTTCATTTTCTAATTTCAGGAAATTTTTTTTTTAACTCTTGCAATGAAATATCATGTGATTAATACAGTAGTTGGTCATGGCAATGAGATTTCAAAAAGAGAAAAGCAATAACAGGACTCACAGCACCAATTTGAGAAGATATGAACCCAAATATGTTCTAGGTAGCTGGCAGAAACAGAAGGGACTTATATACACATAGCTATGCTTCAGAAAAGTGTTAAGTGACAGGATGGTTATTTTTCTAGGTACCAGCAAGCACTAATGAATTTGTGCTATTCAATAGTGCTCTAGATTACATTTTGCAGGTTATGGCCACGGAATATAACAAAACTAACTAGACCACAATGGAATTACTCTAACCAATGGATTTCTCTCCCACATATCATTATTCACTATTACTATATCCCCTTTAAAGAGCTTGTATACATGGGTATCTTCCATGACCAGCAACACGATATGGACATAGGATAAACGCTCAACCATGAAAATCGAGGGTATCTACCGTAACACTCGTCTGCTCGGGTGGGAATACCACTTCTTGTTTTCATGAATATGAGGTGAATTTTACTCAAATAGTAAAATGATTCTATGATCCTATCCAACTGGATGTTTGTTTCAAAAATGAAGACCACAAACCATCTATGCCTGCACATTCTATAGGATCTGTCCACATAG